CCCTGACCCCGCCCAGGACAACGCTTTCCTAGTTAATAAAAAGAATCTCATAGCTGCCCGCTTCATGTTCCTCTCTGGCTCACAAAAGCACACTTTAGGGAGGCCAAATTAAGCTTGACAGGCCAGGAAAGGAAAATTACGACCAGCATTTGATAACATTTTTATGTATTCCTGGCCTTCTCATGTACTCTAGGTGCCCGTGGCATCTCCAAATCGGTAGACACACTGGTCTCCATCAAAAATCTTCTGGGCGGTGATCTGGCGAACTCCAGGAGGTAACCCATGCAGAACACGTCTCCCACCCATGCATCCTGAATCCTTTCTGCTCAAAGCTCCCCAAACAAGGCAAGCCTTGCTCCCACAGGGAGGACAAGACTTCAGGACTTTTCTGCTGTCTTGTCCAACTGTGAAGCCTTGGACTTTCCTCGTCAAAGAAAGAAACTCTGGGTGCCTCCCCAAGTGGGTCTAAAATATTCTCTACTGGGCTTGTAGGAACATACCAGGTTTATCCACGAATACCTAGGAAAAGAACTCCTCAGCGAGACAGAGAAAAGAACACAAAAGGGCAGTGGCTATGCATAAACTGATAAGGCTGTATACTTAAAGGATAAGTGTACTTTTAGTACCCCCTCTCCCAAGCGTTTTATACTCACATGTCCTCCCTACTACTAGATCATTATTGTTTGATTTCTCCCTGCATGGGCAAAAAAAGAAGCTTCCCACCTGGGAGACTTTGCTGCAGCAGCTGTAGGGCTTCCAATGGGCCGCACAGAGGGTATAGCAAGACCAAGACCCGGTAAGTATAACATTTTGGTGAGGAATGGTAATTTATCAGTTTAAAATTATATTAGGCATTCAAATTATTAAAATTTCCTGTAGTTTGTTTTATTGACTGATCTGAGACCTCCATATCAACCACTGTCTGAGCTAAAGAGTTCAAATTTATAGCATGTTTGAGGCTAGTTTGTCATACTGAGCAAGAACTGCGAGGAATGTATTGACTGTACATTATTAAATAGTCAACCATATAAGAGGACTAGACTTTGATCTGGTCAGGAAAACAACAGAACATAAAAAAACGTAGGGTCTTAAACTGGCATTTACAACCAGAGAAAAAAATGCAGCCTTGTTAAAATCTTTCTTGTCCTAATATGATTCGAACAGACATTTAACTGCTTCAGGAACTTCAGTAACTATGTGCCAATACAGTATGTTGATACTAAACCTCTTGCGAGAACCACGGATGTAGTATAGAAAACAGGGAATCAGAGTGAGTGGCAAGGAGTTGTGTTTAATGAGCTCGTGGCCAGCTTGGGTCAATGTAATAAAGAGCAAACTAAAGGGCTGACACATTGGTGATTACTGTATCTTGTATAATGGCTTTAAGGGTCATCAAATAGGAGACATAATTTTAGCTGATAGCATCCAAGGGCACTGTGATGGTCAGTGGGTATCATGAAGTGGTATACCCTGTTGTCATACCACATATAATATAAACATAATGGAACATTAATTTTTTTTAGCAAGATAATAGCCAGTTTCATAGGACAGCCTTTACATGATTAGAATTTGACACAACAGAAGTAATTGACCAACCTAAGTCATCCATTGTTTTAATCAAATGTATTCAGGATGTGATTGGTGAAATGAAAAACATTTCTTTAAGTGCTTCTTTGGTTTGACCAAATACATGTTTTTCTTGTTCATTAAAGAAGAGCAGAACAAAAAGGTGTTGCAAATGTTTTCCCACATGTATGAACACAATACAGCTTTTCTTTTGTTCCAGCAATGTAACTCTTCTACAACTTTGCCCAATTGATTGAGCAACATAATGTACATAAACATGTACATTATGTTTTGCAATTGATTTGCTGTATTTTTAGGTTACAGGAGTGGTAGTAGTTCTGTAAAACACATTTACAGGAAGGAATACATTTGCTTCTCATGTGTCACACATTGGAGAAAGAAAGGGAACATGCTGTAGAGACATTTAATAGCTTTTAATGATTTACTGTAAAAGCCATTTTACTGTCCTACTGCAGCTGATAGAACGGCTTGTCATTATCTTACTGAATGCTGAGTGTGCATGGATATCAACAGCAAACTGGATTAGTTAAGTGTGCGCAGGCTGCAGTATTATTAAATAAACACAGTGCTGTCAGGATTAGTATGCACTTACTTCCCGTCTTATGACTCGTTTTATGTCAACAATAATGTTTAAACTGTATACTAACATATTCCTAAGCCAGTGGCTCTCTACCTGTGTAACCTGAGGACCCACATTTGTCCTTGGCCATTAAGTCGCGACCCAAAAATAATTTAATTTCTGAAACAATATCATTTTTTCCACAAAACAACATGTGCAGGATTCCCAACGTATATATGCACATTGTAAACAGTACAGCCTGTATAGGTCACTAATTTTGAGTTAACCATGAATTATGGCCCTAGAATTATTGCTCTCACTTTGACATTCATGGTGATACCTAACATGTGTGGCACAATCATTATTTAAATACATATGCATGCCCCACACATGCGTGATTATTCTCATGCAGATGGCGTGGTTGGTTTTAATTTTTTTTAATTATTATTATTTTTTATCAATTTTTTTATGTTTTTCCATTAGCACACAGGAGTTAACAAGCTCCTATGTGATAGTATAGGGAGGTGACAGGTTCTCCGAAATGGAGACTCACAGAAACAGCTTCCACATATTTTTTGTGAAAAGTTGTGCAACTAAAACCTCTGTTTATAACACATACTAGATGGGGCAAATTTGTTTTGTTGCAGGTTAGCTGGTAAATGTGCTGGGAAAGTTCTGGGTTTGTATTGTTTAACAATACAGAGTCTCCAGCATGCAGCCACAAAAAGTCCCCACTCTGTCTTCCTGCTGAAAGAGGGCCACTGTAGTAAGACGCCACAATCCGCTGAAGGAGTTGCGACCCACTTTTGGGTCACGACCCATTGGTGGAGAACCAGTGCTCTAAGCAGTAAACAAAACACCGGTATGCACATTGCAAATCCATCACAATCAAAGCAGATTGAAATGACCAAATTATATGATTAAAACAAAAATTCTGAGAGGATACCTCCGGCCATTTTTTATTGCAGCTGAACATGCATTTATTCTGAGACATCGGGGCTCTCCCTCTGTTCCTCGAATAATGGATGGGCTCAAGAATTGTGCAGCCTAATGAAAATGAAAAATATAATTCCTAATCTGCATGATACACAGGAACAGTATAATGCCACTTGGCGCCCTTAGATCTTGTATATGGTAACATCAGCTTTCACAAATCTTTCTAACTGAAATGAGGTGACGTCAGTTGACCCCAGTTGACCCCTCTACTGTTGTAGTGAAATTGGGAACATGTTGTGACCTTTGGTATATATTCTTAGACATTGATCTCGCTGTTGCCATCGCCCCTCAGTTGCCCGGCGTGTCCCCTGCACCAATCTGTGCTTACAACTCTCACCTTACTCTCTTGTTGTACTATATATGTCTCATGTTTTTCTCTTCTCCCCCCCC